GTTTTCAAATCTAGTGGAAGGGGAACATCTTAATAAGACACCATCCCTGTAATCAGATTAAGAGTCAAGATACAAACTTTAGCTACACAACTTGAAAGACGTTTCAAATATTTTAAATGAAATGATATTAGAGACCAAAGTCAAAACATCTCTTTAAGCAAATTATTTTAAAAAGAAAATTTTGATGCATGGCATAATCAAGATGCTTAAATAATGGCTAATCTTGGGGCATTAAGGGCACAATCTTGTGAAAATATTGCCAATTTCTACAGATCTTCAGAGCACAAACTAAAAAAAATCCTGCTGAATTGTACTATAAGCCTATTTAAGTTTGGTGTTATACCAAGCAAATGGATTGATTTTGAGATATCCATCTATGAGTAATTGCCACTGCATTACTTTACCACATTTTTAGAATCATAATCATGTACTTCAGGTCCTAAATGGGTCTGAACTTGAAACTTTGAGGACACTAGAGATAGAAGGGCAATGGGAAGCATCATTTCAGGAGCTCCAAGGGATTCCTCTAGGCAGGAAGAAGTCAATCCACATGAGTGATCGAGGGCACTAAAAAGCAGTCTAGAGCTGGCTCTATGGGCCCTAATCACACACAATACAAGGAAAAACGGCCATTATTGCACCAAGATCACCGCCATAATAATATTATAAGTATAACAAAGATTTGGTCAAGGGCCACAGGATTTTATTACAGTCAACACTAGCAAGTGCTTAACGAAATATGCGTAACAAATCATTTGTCTGAAAATAGTCAACAAGTTTGTAGTTTTATGTAACTATAGAACAGTAGTTTTTAAGTAGATAGTGATACTTTATATCCACCATCTGATTTTAATATAGATACTTTGTAAGGAAAAATGTTACTGCTTTTAGAAATGAGAAAAAGAATTACAAAGAAAAAGAAAGAATCCCAAACACAGGACCTGGAACCTCAACCAATTCAGTACAGCGTTGCAGTGTCAAATAAAAATCTATTACAGAGAACCACACGGGATTGCAGAACTTCTGTTTCTGGACTTTGATCCAAGCGGTCATAAAAACTTGTCCTCAATTAATATCTCCTATTTTCCATTATATGTCAAACATTCTGCAGCTTTTGCCTTTCACAAAACAAAGCAATAAAAACTCAATCATGTCATCCCTACAATACTAAATGACCTAAAACATCACCCACAATCACAGAGCTGATTAGTAAGTAATGAAAGGTATCATTATTCTATAACATGCTGTCAAGGACAACAACAGCTGTTAAGTGGCATTAGCACTAGGAAGGCTTCATTTGTGAATGCATATGTATTAGAGCTCTTCATTAACATAGTGTCTCAGGCACGTAAGACTGCAAGTTGTCTACAATACTGAGGGTGTGAGTTTTCCAGATGTTGTAATTAAGTAGCCCCAAATTAATTTTTATGCCAATAAATTACATTATGAATTGTTCCACTGATATTCTCAAAGCACATAAACAGGCTGTGATTACTATAAAACATCTATTGCTAGACTACAAGCTCTAACTTTTAATGAGGTTCTTAGGTCTATATTTGAAGTTAGTGATAGGAAACAATGTAATGTAGCAGCAAAATTGCTTTCAAGGTCAACTAAAATTTACAGGTGTTAAGGAGCCCTGGTGGCACAATGGTTAAGTGCTTGGCTGCTAATGGAAAGGCTGGCGTTTCCTACCCACCCAGGGAGAAAGATCTGGTGATCCGTTTCTGTAAAGATTACAGCCAAGGAAACCCTATGGGCAGTTCTACCCTGCACACATGGGGTCGCCATGAGTCAGAATCGACCCGATGGCACCCAACAATAACAACCACAAATGAGAATTTAGGAATGCAAGAGCCTGCATTCTGTTCAATGACTATCACTGAGTGCAGATCATTCAGTCTGGGATAGGACAGAGACACATACAAGAATGTTGAATTAAATCAAATAATGTACAAATAGTTCCATCAGCAAGCCTGTTTACTAGTGCAGATGGATAATCTGAGTGAGTCCAAATTTATTTTGAATCTTAAAACATGCCAAATGCCTATACAGAACTATTCTGTTTCACAGGTTTCCTGAATTGCACATAGTATTTATTTTACATTTACAAAGTCTAACAAAAGGGGAAAAAGCAATGGAAGCTTCCAGTTTATTAAAAAAAAAAATCTTAGTCATAAACTGTAAAGTTAAAATGTATGCAATAAAATTTTACCACAATCATGTGAACTACACTGGGTTAGTAGTTTGGCATTTTTATAATCGACTAATGAGCAACCTCTCACTCTTATTTTAGAGTAAGTTTCCAATTAACACCACCAAACATAATCCTAAACTGGAATATTGGTTCATGAAGAACCTCTGGCTACACGCAAATTCTTAGATTATATTCTTTACACTGACAACTTTCAGCACTTTATACCTCCTAAAACTGAGGGCCTGCACTACTCTTAAATATTTACACTTTCGTTTTCTAACTTATACTCAACATACTCTTCTTCTCTTCAGAGTACAAACACACACATGTCATAGAAAGCTTACAGCCTATTGCCAACATCAACTATAATACAAAAACCTATAAGGTGAAAAAAGTCTTTTTATGGAGTCTCAGGTGATGTAAACTTTACAGAGTGAGCAATGTAATTTTGAGAATTCGAATTTTAATCTTAATGGGAACAAAATGTAACTGAACTCTTTCAATTTATTTTCCAGTAAAATGTCACTACACTTTCAAAGTTTTAGCAAGTTCTGAAAATGAAGCGTTCCCACCTACGACTAGTCAAAAGCTACCACCAAATCATCCCAAGTTTACGTCTTTGAAGGAAGAGGGGAGAAAAAAGAAAAGGGCATTTATGCCGCAATATTAGAGGAACAACGTTTTCTTTTAAACTGTTAATAAACTGTGTAAAGAACATTTCCAAAGAACACCCCTACACACTCTAAAAAAATAATCAGCCTAGTTCGCCACCCTGCTCACCGTTCTATTCACCGTAACTCACTGAGAGCGGAAGGGTGGGAGTGTGCAAGGGAAAAAGAAAACTGGGGACAGATGGCCTCCGAGTAGCAGGTGACCTCTAAAAAGTGTCAGCCCATAGCAATCAATAATTCCAGACATAGATGGCGTTAGTGCCTCATCCTTAAACTCGCAGAAAAGTGCCCTTCGAAAAGAAAACACTTTCTTTTCAGGGTTATCCTGGTTTAGGATTTTGAAGGAAGAAGGGGAAAGCTGGACAGAGGATTAAAGAAGGAGGTCGGAGTAATTAAGCAGAAGACATAAGATTTGTCCCGGAGCTGTTGGCTCCGTCAAAAAACGCGGAAAATGATCAAACCGACACCGACTTTGAACGTTCGTTAGGAAAAATACGGATGAAAAAAGACCCATCTAAAACCCCAAAGTTATACATCCGCCAGAGAATAAAGGAAGACAAAAATATTGTATAGTTCATTGCCACTGGGGCATCGCCCCGTCAGTGTGACCCGAACGCCACCACCCAGCACCCGTCCCCACCGCGCCCTAGGGAAAGGGGGGGGGGATGCTGTAGCAAGTACCTTGTTTTGTCTCCAAAGGGCAACATAGCAAACGTAGGGAAGTTCAAGGTGCAGACCACGCGGCCTCGGCCGAGCCTCTACTCCAGGAGGTGCGGGGGGGAGGGGAGGTTGTGGTGACAACGTGCCCAGGTGAAGCAGGCAACTCGGATCCTGCTCCCCTACGGCCCCCGCCGCTGTGCCGCCGCCCGCCGCCGCCCGCTCGTTCCGCGCTGCGCCGCCCCCTAGCGGGAAGCGCCCGGCAGAGCCGCAGCCGCGCGCTGGCGAGCTGGAGCCGGGAGTTGAGCCCCGGCCGGCTCCTCCACCATCACCGCCCCGCGTGTATCTCCCTCCTGACCGCGACGGCCAGCACACGCAGCCCAACGGCCACTGCCCTGCGCTGGTGGCGGCGGCGGAGCTCAGCCCCTTCACCAAAGGGGTGCGTCAGGAAGTCCGCCTGAGTTCGCGTGCAGGAGCCCTGTCCGCGCCCCGGCCTCGCACCAACTCCTCAAGCTTCAGGGGACCCGCCCGCCACGCTCCTCCCTCCTGGTCCCTCGGCTCGCATCTCAATTCCACCCAACTCTCCCGCGAGTGTTTCCCACGCGCGCCCCAACGGCCTGCTGTGCGCTGCTTCCAAAGAAAGGGACACGGTCCCTCCTCCGCGTGCTCCGAAGCAGCCGCCCTCCGCTTGGCTCCCGACCGGGAGGAGCTGGCCTCTGCGGTCGGCTTGGGCCGCGCGGGACCCGTCAGCTCCCCGGGTTCCGCACCCTGGCGCGCCTCCCCCGCGCCCTTTGTGTACGAGCCGCGAAGCCCTCGGCGGAGCCCCTCCTTTCAGGGACACCGCCTTTTGCGAAAGCTCGAGTGAAAGGAGGCGCGCGGGACAACATGGGGACTGGAAGGGGCAAAAGGCGACCGCACTCACTCTGGGAAGGCTCCGGCATGTTGTTGCCTTTGGGCTGTCTCGTAGTCTAGCCTCTAAGCCTGGCTTCCCCGCCCCGCTAGGGCCGGGGCGAGGGGGGACGGGGGCGGAGCGGAGCCACTAGGACAGAGTTGGAAATGCTGCTTCCGGAGCTACAGGGAAGGGGCTCAAAAACTGTTTTGGTTTCGCTAAGGGGATTTAGGGAAACCAAGAGGCAGGAGCGAGGCTGGTGGAAGGCCCCATGAGCGAGGTTATAAAAAAAATAATCTTGCTCCCAGGGAAGACCAGGGTGGCGGGGCGCTGGGCACATACATTTTTGTATTTGAACTTTGTGAGCAAGTTGGATAGAATCTGACGCTTCGGTTTTCCTACGGTGCTCACTTTAAAGTCGAGGTATCTATCCATAACAGGACCAAAGGACCTACCTCAGAGGCAAAGGGCCTGGGAACTGGGGGTTGCTTAACGGTGAAGGAAGGGAAAATTCAAAGGGAGAGAGAGAACAGCCCCAGGTCACTCTCCCTGCCCCGGCTGGGTCTTCCGTGGGTCCTCTTCTTACCTGGTTGCTTTCCTAATAAAGTAAGAGAAGGTAAAGTCCCAGTGATCGTCCAGCCACGCTTCTACCGAGTCCTGGTTCTGCTGCTGCTGAGGCCATCCGGGGCCGGGGCCGCCCAGCTCCATGGTCTGCGCTGCGCTACTCCGCGTCTCGCTGGAGCTGGTTTTCCACCCCTGCTAGAGTCCCTCCCTCGGAGGAGCAAGACACTTCCTCGAGACCCTCCCCTTTCGCCTCGCTCCGGCCGGGTCGGCTAGCTGAGAGGCTGCGGGCGCAGGGCCAGCCTCCCGTCTCGCCCCTCCTGCTCCGTACCGCTCCCAGGTGTGGGAGCTGCCCCTCTGCCTCTGTAGGGTCCTGCCCAGACAGGATCTCGCAGACTCTAGAGTACCCCGGTCCTGAGGCGCCCGGGGCGGCGTCCGGCAAACTCTCCCGCAGCCAAGTGGCCGCGGCTGGGAGGCCACGCGGCCGCTGGGGTGCGCTGTGAGGCGAGGCGGTTCCTGGGAAGCGCGCAGAGGTGACTGTGTTTGCAGAGTGTCTCGCTCTAAAAAGTGGAAGGTCGCCATATAGGGGTCCCCTCTCAAGCCCAGAAGGCGGGAGTTTGGGGAAGTTTTCCGAAAGTGAGAGCTGGTGCTATCCTGGGCGCTTCTCCTCGGGTCTGGGAGAACAATGACTGGCCCGAGTCGCTTTTCCTCCAACCCAACGCTTGGGTTCCATAGGAGCCAGGACCCACCTCGCTCCACGCCCAGCCCGCGCCTCAGCTCAGAGCGCCCCAGCCACTGACCTGGTACAGGCAAGGAGAGTTGGGATGCTTTGCACCAAGACAGATTCCTGCAGCCCTGACCTCAAAGGCCAAGTGAAGTGTCGAGGGTCTAGGTGGACAACTTCTAACCAAGTCATACCTGTACTTAATGTTAATAATAATAATACATTAAGTGCCTTTAGCCATTGTATCAAACAGACCCTTTTTTTCATCACTGATTTTCTGGAAAAAGAAAAACGTATGAAGTCAGAAAACAAAGGGCGCCTCTGTACAACTAGATTGAGAACACCAGCGCAAATGGGTACAGTCGAGAGCAGCTAGTTGTCTTGTTGTATCCCTTACCCAGCTAGTATACTTTTAAATTAATCGTTTATATTTAACTTGAATTAATACTCTCCTGCAAAAAATCAGTTAAAAAGTGGTCGTATTCCTACTCTGTTTTAGCCTATCTTACCCTTCTTTACCACCAGCCATCTGTCAGTTTATCCAGTTGTGGTGACTTGTATGTTGCTGTGATGCTGAAAGCTGTGCCACCACTATTTCAAATACCAGAAGTGTCACCCAGGGTGGACAGGTTTCAGGAGAGTTTCTAGACTAAGACAGACTAGGAAGAAAGGCCTGGTGATCTACTTCCCAAAATTAGCCAGTGAAAACCTTATGAATACAACAGAGTATTATCCAATATAGTGCTGGAAGATGAGCCCCCTAGGTTGGAAGCCCTTACACAGTAGCCTCAAACACACCAATGATCATGAAGATGGTGAAGGACCTGGCAACATTTCCTTCTTCTGTTACACATAAGGTCCTCATGAATCAGAGTTAACTCCACAGCAACTAACAACATTATTGTTATTTTAAAAAAGCAGTTGGTGTCTTCCTTTGCTTCGCCCTCATTTGCAGTTTAGTATGGTATTTTGCAATGACCTAATTATTTCTGGCAGAATTAAATCTGGAGTTCTATGTTTCACAAAGTGTGAATGACACTATTAGCAGGAATATACCAAAAGTGATTTAACTGAAATGCTTTGAACAAACTTACTCTTGACAAGAATGTAAGACATTACTCATTACATAGAAACACATAATAAAATTGATAATCTGGAAACTTTAAAAAATGTCTTCCAATCCCCCCATGCAATGTTTTATCTTTTCTGCATTTAAATAACTGTCTTTTTGTTATTTCAGTTTTCCTCAAACTTTGCTTTTTTTTGGTAAATAAAAGTTTTATTGGAAGTTCACCTTCATATGCAAGTAACCACAACCAATAAAAAGCAAGCAAAGCAATGGGGTGGGAGAAATGCATGATAAATTGTGTCAGTGCTCCTGAAACAGAGACTTTCTTCTCAGTACTCAATATTTCCCCCCGTGGAAATCCATGGGTTCCTCATAACAGGAGGTCAATTATAATTTAAAACTCCACTTACCTACTAAGGATGCAGTGACTTTTTGGCTTGAATAGTTTGCTTTTTTGGCTACTTGATTAAAAATGGCAATATCCAAAGGTCCAAGTTCTCTCCTAATCTGAAAGGGTTATGGATTACAACAGAATATTGTTATAATTATACTACCAGGAAGGTTTTTGAAAAATTGTTCGAAGATAAAACAACCCACAGAATTCCCCTGGTCAGTGAATTTCAGTTGTGTGTGGTGTAGATGTTGGGTTAGGGGTTACTGGAAAGGCCTGTTACCTGAAAAAGGGGGTAGAGGACTGCTTCAAACTGTTTTAGTCTCTAGGAAGTTCAGAAAAATTTGTAACATACCTCTTATAACTTTAAATATTTAAAACTAAGGTCTTCACCTCTCTTTTTTATTCCATTTCATTCTTTATCCCAGTTTGATCGATTGTTTTATGTTTTAACTTATTGGTATGGATTGCTGTAAGTACCCTCAATCTTGTTTTGAAACGAGTTGAAAGATCACCAAATGGGGGTTACCAAGCAATAACCTTTAAAATGCTATTAATACTATTTATAACAGACAAATGAAAAGAGATTTCCAGTGTATTCCCATTATACTAGAATAAAATCTCAACTCCCTAATATGGTTTACAAGGTTCTACATTATATGGCCTCTACTGTTAAATGTTTGTTCATACAACTTGAGAAAACAAACAAAACCGTGGATGATTCAATTCCTTTTCCAAAAAAAGAGAACATAAAAGTTCCATGATATCTTTCCTGTCTTTTTTTCCCCTCAAATATTACCTGCTATCTTCTACTCCCTTGCAGTAATGCTGTAATGTATAAGATAAAATAAAATAAAAAATTACACTAAATAACTTCACACCAATAAACCAAACAATTTAAATGAAATGGATGAATTTCTTGAGGGGGGAGAAAAAAAACTGATCCAAACTGACACAAGATGACATAGAAATTCTGTTGATTTAGAATTCAATTAATACATGAAATTTGTTATCAAAAACCTTCATACAAAGAAAACTGGTTCCAAATAATTTCACTGGTGAATTTGATCAAACATTTAAGAGAAAAGAAATATGAATCTTACACAAACCTTTTCATTAAGTCAGCATAACCCTGATGCTAAAACATAATAAAGATTTTAAAGAAACAATATCCTTCATGAAGTGACACAAAAAACCTTACTAAATTATTAGCAAATTGAATAAAACTAGAGTTCCTGATTCCATATATAAATAAATAAATAAGCCAATAAATAGGCAAAAGGGCAATGTTTCTTACAGTAGAATGGCAACTAGTAAATATAAAAGGAATCATGAGTTTAGAAAATCATTGTTGTTATTGTTAGGTGTCATTGAGCTGGTTCCGACTCATAGCAACCCTATGTAAAACAGAATAAAACACTGCCTGGTCCTGCGCCATCCCCACAATCGTTGTTATGCTTGAGCCCGTTGTTGCAGCCACTGTGTCAATGCATCTCGTTGGTGGTCTTCCTCTTCTTGGCTGACCCTTTACCAAGCATGATGTCCTTTTCCAAGGACTAATCCCTCTTGATAACATGTCCAAAGTACGTGACAAGTAGTCTCACTGTCCTTGCTTCTAAGGAACATGCTTCCAAGACAGATTTGTTCGTTCTTCTGGCAGTCCATGCTATATTCAATATCCTTCGCCAACACCACAATTCAAAGGTGTCAGTTCTTCTCCAGTCTTCCTTATTCATTGTTCAGCTTTTGAATGTATATGAGGTAATTGAAAAAACCAAGGCTTGCATCAGGTGCACTTTAGTCTTCAAGGTGACTTCTTTGCTTTTTAACACTTTAAAGAGGTCTTTTGCAGCAGCTTTGACCAATGCAATAATACGTCATATGTTTTCTTGACTGCTGCTTCCGTGGGTGTCGACTGTGGATCCAAGTAAAATGAAATCCTTGACAACTTCAATCTTTTCTGTTTATCATGATGTTGCTTATTGGTCCAGTTGTGAGGATTTTCGTTTTCTTTAGGTTGATGTATAATCTATACTGAAGGCTTTGGTCTTTGATCTTCATCAGTAAGTGCTTCAAGTTCTCTTCACTTTCAGCAAGCAAGGTTGTGTCATCTGCATATTGCAGGTGGTTAATAAGTCTTCCTCCAATCCTGATACCCTGTTCTTCTTCATATAGTCCAGCTTCTTGGATTATTTGCTCAGCATATAGATTGAATAGGTATGGTGAAAGGATACAACCCTGATGCACACCTTTCTTGATTTTAAACCATGCAGTATCCCCTTGTTCTGTTCCAATGACTGCCTCTCGATCTATGCAGAGGTTCCTCATGAGCACAACTAAGTGTTCTGCAATTCCCATTCTTTGCAATGTTATCCATAATTTGTTATGATCCGCACAGTTGAATGCCTTTGCATAGTCAATAAAACACAGGTGAACATCTTTCTTGTATTCTCTACTTTCAGCCAGGATCCATCTGACATCAGCAATGATATCCCTGATTCCACGTCCTCTTCTGAATCCAGCTTGAATTTCTGGCAGTTCCCTGTCGCTATCCTGCTGCAGCCGCTTTTGAATGATCTTCACCAAAATTTTACTTTCATGTGATATTAATGATATTGTTCGATAATTTCCACATTTGATTGAATCACTTTTTGGGAATAGGCATAAATATGGATCCCTTCCAGTCAGTTGGCCAGGTGGCTGTCTTCCAAATTTCTTGGCATAGATGAGTGAGCACTTCCAGTGCCACATCCATTTGTGGAAACATCTCAATTGGTATTCTGTCTATTCCTGGAGACTTGTTTTTTGCCAATGCCTTCAATGCAGCTTGTGCTTCTTCCTTCAGTCCCATCAGTTCCTGATCATATACTACCTGAAATGGTTGAACGTCCACCAATTCTTTTTAGTATAGTGACTCTGTGTATTCCTTCTATCTTCTTTTGATGCTTCCTATGTCATTTAATATTTTCTTTGTAGAATCCTTGAATTTTTTTTTTCAGTTCTTTTAGCTTGAGAGATGCTGAGTATGTTCTTCCCTTTTAGTTTTCTACCTCCAGGT